ATTTCATCTCTCTACAATACCATTTTGTTAGGGAGTTCTAACAGTAGAGAATTTCTGAGACATCCCTGAGTTAGAGCAAAAGTCTTCCAAAAAGGAGTTTTAGAATTCAGTCCCATAATTACTATGTAGTTGCCTTACTTTGTGACCGTAAAGAAATTCCCAGTGCTTGATGAGAGCAATGATTTCATCAGTGGGATGACTCTTCTTTCTTAAAAAACTACCCACATAAACCTTGAAAATTCATCCACAATGACAAAAGTTTATTTCTTCCCAACTCTTTACTTAACTAGAACTAGTCCAAAAAGATCCATGTGAAGCAGATGATGAGGTTTGATAATGGTAGAGTAGGACTTTGGTTTGAAGGAATACATGGGTTTCTTTCCCTTTTCACACGTTAAATAGATCTTGTCCTTGAGAAACTACGTCTTGTGAATTCCACTTATAAGCTGATTCCATAAGATCTTTGATATGCTCTTAAAATTTAGATTCGATAATCTCTTATGCCAAAACCAATTTAAATGACACTGAACACGAAAAAAGAAGTAGCGACGAAGAAAGTTAGCAGCAAAAAACATATCTAGAACATAGATGTCATTCTGTCAATTTGCAGAAAGAAAAGTTGCATTCCTTTAATCAACAACCTTTCCTTCTCTCTTGTTAAAGAGAACTTCATAGCCGACATAACACAGTTAGCTGATTTAAATGAGATTATGCTGAAGACCTTTCACATAAGAGACATTCTTGAAAACAACATAATTACAGTTGATGGATCCATATCCCTTTCTAACTCCCTTGCTATTATCTCCATACGTAACAATTAGGTCATCCTTCTTTATGAAGTCTTTCCAGAAGTGACTTGAATCCAATCATATGTCTTGAGCAACCACTTTCTAAATAACAAATATGCTCTTTACCTTGAAACCAAAATATACAATAAGCCCTGACACTGAAAAAAGGGTACATATATATATATATATATATATATATATATATATATATATATATATATATATATAGACACACACACACAATATATATATATATATATATATATATATATATATATATATATATATTGACCCACATGCAATGGGTCACTCAAGAAAAATATATTATAACAATCATTAGGGAGACCGTCCAACGAGTTTCCCGTTTTGATCGATTTGTCATTGCGAGTCATGATTTTATCAACATAAACATAATTCTTTTCAAAGATGCAATTGTTGACTTTGTGAGAAGCATCACCACATCGATAACAAACTTTAATTCATGGATTCTTTCCTTTAGTATTAGGTTTTGATTTCTTTTAAAATGAAGAGTCTGAAGAAATTTGATTATTTGACTTAATATTTCTTGTTTTAGTTCTGGAATAAGGAGTGTCATCGATGGTATGCTCATATGCTACCTTGTCGTGAGGCTTATGATGCATTGAAGAGTCATTTGAGGTAGAAGACTTTGATTGATCTTTAGGTCCAGAATTGATAATTGAGCACTGAGGAAACATTCTAAGGATTTTCGTTTACAGAATGAACTTCACCATTATATATAGGAAACTTTAGCAAAGTCTTAGCAGAGGAGGAACATACTCACAATGAGAAGGTTGGTGAGAAGGATCAACATCAGATAATTTAGAAACATATTTGGTAATATCATTAGAATCAATAGAGCAGTGAGTATTAATTAAAATTTGATTTATAAAATACAAAGTCACAAATCTACTCTTAAAATCTTCTTTCAATACGTCAGCTTTATAGAAGGTTTGTTTAGTTTCAACAACTTTGATTAAGGAAACTGCACCTTCTATATCACCTCCAAGAATTTTCTCACACTGATTGGGGATATGAACATTTATAATTCTTGTGACATTGAAGTGAGAAGAGGCCCAGTTTTTCAAAATGTTTTGAATGCATTTAGCATGATCAACAACTTTTTCTTTTTCAGTGTGAAGATAATTATTAGTCAGTGAGATGCAGGTATTTTCCTTTTTTTAATGTAGAAAGAGATTTTTCAACACCAATAGTCTTTTCTTTTAGCTTCTTTACCTCAAATCGAAGATACGATTTTTATTTATTTGAGACTAATAAATCAAAACGTAAGTGAGCAATCATGTTATCTTTTTGACGTTTTCTACAGGAGAATAGTTAACAAGATTTTTTTACCTTATACACTGATGTAGTGTTCCATTCTGTCTTAGAGTCTAGAGCGACTTGAGAAGGATCAGTGTCAAGAATCCCATCATTGTCATTTGAAGTGTCATCGTGAGATTCAACGATCTCAGCCATGAGACACTTACCTTCATCATCTGAGGAGTTTTCTTTTCAAACGTATATGATAGAGAAATCATCATCTCTTGAGCGGTCTGCGTGAACCAAACGATAGACATAAAAAGGGAGTGAGTTTCCAATAGCAGTTCTCGCCTTTACATCGAGATTCAAAATCCTTTTCTCTTCCTTGCTATATTCGGGAACATATTTCCCTTTCACCTTACTACCCGATGCATCATTATTGGATAATCTATGCATAGCAGCGATATGACCTTTGTTGATATCATCGAGCATATCAAAGTCCTTGAACTTGAGAGCTTCCATGGCCTTTGATTTCCAGGTAAAGAAGTTTTGTTTATCAAATGAAAGAATCTTGTTGCAGACAGTTGATTTGGGAGTAAAGGAGGTCGACATAATTATTTGAGTGTATAAAAAACCTGCTCTGATACCAATTGAAGGTTTGTATCGATCAGATACACTTGAAGTATAAAGAACGAAAGTAAACTAATTAAAGAGAAAGAAATAACAAAAAGTAAATAACACATAGAGTTCTCCAAATTGTTCTTTCACCAAGAAAGGGTTTTGTCTTCACCAAAAAGATGGGTTGTCACAAAGACGGTTGACACAAAGCCAAACTATCTAACTCTGCATTAGGGTTTACCCTAATATAGATTATATACTAATTTATACATGTGAATCCCATGATTTAAGGGATTGTATCATATCTATACTAAGAACCGATTTTCATAACAAAGATACCTGATCTGCTATTTATTTTGTACTTATCTATATCATTACCTAATATACAAAAGATTACATAGAATAAGTATACTAAGCGCTAACACTGATAAGCTTTATACGTTGGCGTTGGTTGTAGAGTATACACTGACGTTGATGACCGTGTAGAGTGTTTGATTCATCAGATCATAAGGTGTGATCTTACAAAGGATGTTAAAGAAATTCATCCACGGTATATTTTGTCCCGGTGTAGGAAAAATGTGAAACATGGATACTACTTAGTGAAAATTGTTATGAAGATTTAATGAGTGGTGAAAGCGTTAAACAATTTCACCACTTGCGTTTTATTTTTTACAATGATGCACATATTGCTAATTCTAGCGAAATGTATGAATACTTGCTTTTAAGGCTTTAGGGCTCCAACTATTTTGTTCAAGATTGGTAATGAACAATATGATTGTTGCTTTACCGAATGTCATGGAATCTTATACTCTTGCTTCAAGTATCTCAAGGCCTAATTAATTTTCTTCAAGAATAACTACATGTTTGATTTCTTTACCTAAAACCGATTTGATTTGATGCTCTTAAGGATGCTCACATCTCTTTTCCCCTCCCATACAAGAATCAGCCCAGCTTGATTTTTTTTGTGCTTGATTCTAGCAACCAACTTCCATCTTTATTGGCAAAATTTAATTTTTAGCTAATAAGCTAATTTATAGTTGATAAGCTAACTTATAAATTAATAACGTTTGGTAAAAATAACTTATAGAATATAACATAACATAAATAGATATTGATATTTTGGTTCAAATAGACATATTTTGGGTGTATTTTCCAAAATATTGACATAAAAAACATGTTTTCACAAATAGACATGCATTTCAAGAAGATGCTTCACGGGCTCTTCGGAATTAGGATACCCTTCGAAAAATAATGTTTTATCAAAATGTATTTCAACTATAAATATATACAGATAAAACCAATCATACCGAAAACAAATATAAAAAAACAAAAGATCATGTTCGATATCCCACTATTCACAACCATAAGTACATAATCGGAAAAAAAATGGATAACTACATTACATATTATACTACAGAAAATCTTTTATTGATTACGATAAAGTTTAGTCGAATCAAACTAATTATTGATTATGATCCAAATTAAGTTTTATTATAACATACAATCAACTTTCTACGAAACTAAAATTCCGTCAAATCCACTTAAATAGTTGTATCTTGTGGTTTTACTATAAATAATATAAATCTATCAAATCTTTATTGATAAAACGTACACAACAAGCTCAACATAAAAAATAAGGCAACGATTTGATAATTAATTATTGCTTATGAACAAAAAAAGGAAATGTATTCAAATTGCAATTAAAAATGGAAACTTATTAAAGCAATCGAATATTTTAAAAACATAATAAATGATGACTTAAAAATAATCATATTAATGCGAAATCACAACATAATTTCCTAGAATTTGCACTAAAATAACATGGAATGGTTCTCATGCTGATCAGGATAATTGGATGTACACGTTGGCCACGTCCATGTGGCAACAAATGAGTGGTGATTAGGTAACCAGTATAGAAGGAAATCTCCCTTAACGAACAATATTTTAATAAAATTACGAACATACCCCTAGCGGCGATAATATCCAGCTGGCAATTTTTTAGTATTATACAAGGCTACTTGACAGCACCCATTATTGACGTGGAAATTATTCTATTCCCATTTTCCAAGTGGAATATGCCCCCTAATGATTGAGTATTTTTCAATTTACACCCCTCTACAAAATCATAAATAAATTTCTCTCTCATCCTCCCTTTTGTCCACCCTACTCTTCCCCTCCATTTCTCTCTTTCTCTCTCATCTCTCTCGCTCTAATAAACTCCCCTGTTTTCAGGTTGATTTTGATTCAGAGGTTCAGATTGGGATTGTTTAATCTAGATTTTGATTGTTGTCGTGAGGCGCAAGAGCGCAATCTGAAATGTCTTTCAGATTTTTCCTCATTTTTCCTGAAAAATCCAAGGTTGAAGAAGGAGAGTGGGAAAAGGAGAGATAATCGACGATAATTTTCGTCTTCACCAAGAATTTTTCTTGCTGTTAGTGTTTGCGTAAATATATATGCAAGTGTGTTTATATCTGGAGACTGGAGGAAATTGCTAGCTTATCGGACTTATCTGCTTCTTCTGGTAAGTTGATTTGGTTTGTTAGTGGAATTTGATTGTGATTTTGGTTAATGTTGCTAATAGTATCTGTAAATATTATGTTAGGAATGTCTGCTACGATGATGATGCCTGCGACGGAATCACAGTCAGTGGCGGCGAATCTGAATGCTCCGACGATGGAAGTAGAGTTTGCTGAGTGCGATTGTTGTGGATTGACGGAGGAGTGTACGCCGGCGTACATGGAGAGAATTCGAGAAAGATATCAAGGGAAATGGATCTGCGGTTTATGTGGAGAGGCGGTGAAAGACGAAATAGTGAGAAGCGAACGGCTGATCACCACCGAGGAAGCGATGACGCGTCACATGGCGTTTTGTAGGGCGTCAAAGTCATCTGGTCCGCCGCCTAATCCGGCGGTTCATTTAATCGCTGCCATGAGACAGATTCTCCGGCGAAGTTTGGATTCACCTAGATCCTTGAGGTCTATGCCTAGTAGTCCGACGAAGAACACCGGCGCCGGCGCACTTGCTCGATCGGAGAGCTGTATGCCGACTCTAACGCTTGCTGTTGTTGATTCATCTCCGTATGATGAACTGGAAGTACCAGAAGAATGATGAACAACACAGAAGAACAAAAATGGCGATGAACAATTGTAAGTTTGATTCCTTGATCCTCCAAAACGGATTTGGGAAAACTAGATGCTTAATTTAGATGAGACAGTTATTGTATCTAAACTCATTATAATTACTAGTAAACAACCCTGTTTTCATCTTGATATCATTTTCCTACAAACAACTTCCATTTCAATTTTCATCAAATTGTCAAACCCATCAATCATTTCAAGAAAACTTCCATCAATTCAAATTATACCAAACTTCGTCGGTTAAAAAAGTGTCATAAATCAATACACACCGAAACAAAAATTTAGTGTGAAATGAATAAACAAATCATTAGTCATTTCATCAAATCAAAACTAATAAACTCAATTGTACACTAATAATGCAAGTATCTTGAAGGTGTTTGACATGAGAATAATCTTTTTGGCTTTTGTGGGCATAAGTTTTGCTACAACAAGAGATTCTCACTTTGGTCTTTCTAGCCGCAAGCTAGTTACCTATCACAAAAAGTGATAGAAAGACAATACAATAAGTCGTATTGAGATGCCTATTTCCTACTGCCTTTAATAGAACATGTATTCTAATATGTGAAAAGCATGTAAATATAATTATAAAAAGAGCTTGTGATATGCATTGTGAATCCGTATCCTATATTTATGTAAAAGACAAAACAACAATAAAGTTCCGTAAAACCGTAAAACCAAAAGGTAATGTGAAAAGTATCGTGTGAAATGATGTCGATTTGGAATGCTTTGTTTATTGTACAATTATTGATCGTACCATTTTCATAGAGGTAAAAGAGGTAAAATGTTGAAGCGTACCTTATTAGATTGTACAACTTGGGAGGGGTAAGATTGTAATTTCAAACTCAAACTAGTGACGTGAAGTGACTATTTAGCCATAAAATTCGTGTTAGAATCCTGTTTGCATAAGTAAATGATTAAAAAAAAATTAAAATACATAACCTTTTCAATACATGTGATTAAGATAATGCTTTTTTTGAAATGAAATCTGTTAAATCAATATAAACGAACTACATCCAAATCCGGTATAAGTTGTCATGTGTTTGGTTTTTATATGAATCAATGAAGTCGAAGTGTGAATTGTGTTAAACGGAAGAATATATTTGTCTATTTGTGGATTTATTAGGACAATCTAGTTTTTCAAAAAAAAAAAAAAAAAAAAAAAAAAAAAAAAAAAAAAGAAGAAGAAGAAGAATGAATTACAACTCTTACATCCCACTTCTAGGAATGATAAAATCCCTCAAAACATGGATTTTGAATGTATCCATACAAGTGTCATTGGTTTGGAAATCAAACATTTAATGGATACGAACTCTTGAGATTCTAATTCATTTGGATTCTTCGAGAGTTCATAAACCAAACTTGTGTTGTTAAACATGATAAATCATATTATCATAGCAACACTATAACATCAAGTTTTTGGTATATCCCTCTTAAAAGTTTTATTATTTAAGTTTTGGATTTTTAGTAGCCACGGTGTGGCTAATAAGTTCACATGATGTGGCCTTGACCAAAGAATATGTGAAGGTTAAGTGAGTTGCACGACGTGGCAGACTATTCACCATGTCGTGACATCCGTTTAATTACAAACACTGATTTTGGTGTTTGTACCCCTATTTGAGGGATGTGATTGCTATGGTTGCCCACCCTTAGCCTCTAACACTCTCCCTCATCCTCTAAAGCAAACCCTATCCGCTATTGTTTCAGCAAGAAACCATCCCCATCCTCTTTGTGCACATTTTTAGGACTCTTGTAAGTCCTCACGTTCCAAACATTATGACTCTATGTGCTTAGATCTAGGATTTCTTGTGCTTTTCTTCATGTTTAGGCTAGTTGGAGTGTTGGGGTTCCATAAAGTTGTCAACTTTATGGATCCCCATATTACGTTTATAGTTGGAAGTGATGGATTTGGAGTTTGATATAGTTTTGAACTCTTGCATGAGATGTTGCCCCATTTTACCCCATTTTAACCTAACTTGAGCTCAAGAATGTGTTGGACATGCATGTGTATAAAACTATGATATTTATGATCTTTTAGGAGTATGGAAGCATTCTTGAAAGTTTGGATGAGTGGCGAAAAGGATTAAGAGCTTAATAGATTAAGTTGGTATGAACAGTTCCCACGATATGGAGGCTTAGTCGCCATGTCGTGGCGATTTGGTAAATCCTCGTCTATTTTGTCATGTTATCCCTACGATGTGGCATAACTTTATCCACATTGTGGCGACCGATGGTTGACTTTGACCATTGAGTTTTTGACCATATTTGACTTTAGGTCAAATTTAGGGTTTTGGGGCTGTGGTTTGAGATTTAGTCTTTGTTTGCTATATAGGTGACCTTTAGTGTTGATTATTGGATTTATGATCAGTACTGTTATCTTCTTGACTGCAAGGTGGTTTTTCTCAATGTACTTGTGGATCAAATGCACCAATATCGGGCCACCCGATTGTGTTTTGTATCCTTGTGTATAGGATGTTGCTATGCTATAGTGATATGTTGGATTGGTAGATCTATGTGATTACTTGTAGCTGCTGGTTATTGATTATTGTTTGCATATGTCTACATAATGTGGTTGGGTTGAGGAGGTATTGCTTTGTGTAGTAGGCCAACAAATCGGAGAGCATTCTAACTTTATGTTGTACGCTCGCGAGCAGCCCAGTTTTATGCTGTAGGCTTGTAGACGGCCTAGTCTTGTGTTGTAGGCCTAGGAGCGGTCCTGTATTATGTTATAGGCCCAATATGCATGCATTGTGTGTGTGTGTGTGTATATATATATATATATATATATATATATATATATATATATATATATATATATATCATTCTACTATAACGACTCAAAAATCACAACAAATTTAAACTTTTAAAAACAACTCATAATCATAAAATGTTTACAAAATCATTTTTTTCAAATTGTTTATCCATATTAGAGTATCCCAAAATCATAAAGCCATAAACAGACGATGTGTACGGTCAAGCCTTCGCCTTCCCACGATCATAAGAAGTACCTGAAACAACAAACTAAAATCGTAAGAAAAAGCTTAGTGAGTTCCCCCAAAGTACCAACACACAAACATATAACATATACAACAACATGTCTGGTCCAATCAACCATCGAGTTGGAATACCCCATGCCTATTCAACCTCCAGGTCCAATCATCCTTAGGATGGAATATCCTAGGTTGGAATACCAATATACAACGGGTCCAGTCATCCTTGGGATGGAATACCCTCGGGCCCAATCAACCATTGGGTTGGAATCCCCTCGGTCTGTTGGCCCACACACAAAGCAGTAAAGCCTCAACCATATCTCAAATATGTCGTCATATACATAACAGATAAACATATAATCAACCAGCAAATAAACAAGCAGATCTAAAGTTCACTACACCATAGCAACATATAGTAAACCAGGATATCGATCCAGTGGGTCAGCCTTGCTTCCTTTGACTCGTAAGTATAGTGAGGAAGACTCACCTCACAGTTTGAACGATAGTTGATGAAGTCCCGAATCCAAATCTCAGCTCTAACCATCACTTATTCATCCAAAGGACCAATTCTCAACCACAATCCAAAATACCCTTAAGTTAAACTAGGTCAACCTTAGTCACCATCAGAGTCAAACTGGTCAAAATCAACAAGTCAACTGAGTTAACCCAACCGACTCAACCTAGCCGAGTAAACTTAGCCTAGTCCACACAGAATGCATACGCATGGCATACTCCAAAGGTACATGAGGCATGCTAAAATCTTAACCGCAAACGAGAGAGTTGAGCACGTACACATATCATACTCAAGTTACGTAGGGTGTACGCCCATACTTCTCAAAACTTCATTAAGAGCTTGATGCATTAAGCTCTTACGTCCAACCTTCAGATCCAAGGATAAATCATCCTCAAGAGTCATAAAGTTTCCAAGTTTCTGACTTTGCATGTCCATTAAGTGCTAAACTCAACATCTTAGTACATTAGGACCTTCTAAAGAATGCATGGAGCTAAACCAACCATTAATACCCCATTTTTTTTGACTCAAGACCCTTCCTAAGGTCTGAAAGGATGGCTTAATGGGTCAAGAAGATGTCATGCTCAAGAATCACCATTTTGGGACCAAAAAGTGTCTTAAAATAACAAAATTCTAGATCTATAAGATGGAGTGGTAAAGTTGTAAGCTTTATACCTCCTGGGGGTTGCAAATAAGAAGGAAATCCCAGATCCAAAGTACTCTAAAGCTCCAAGTTCTTCTCACCACCTTCTTTTTTCTTCAAGAATACTTCTTAACAATCTAAAGGCTCCTAAATGATTTTTTCTCTTAAGTTTTCTTGGGGGTCGATTTCACAGAAGGATGCTAAGTAAGAATGAGATGTGAGGCTATAATGAGGTTTAAATATGAGCCAAAACCTAAAAAAATTTGTTTGCATGATCTTCACGTACACCCTGTGTACGAGGTGTACGCCCAACGTACTAAGGCGGACCATATTATACTTAGCGTACTCCCAAAAGTCCAAATTTACCAAAGTGACACTATGGGTCCTATTTCACTCGTTCTTTTACTTAGGGACCAAAATACAACAAATCTTAATATAAGGGTCAACAATGAAAGTACCTCAAAACAAGATGTTACATGTGTGGGGTATTTTGGTGGAACTCTCTAAGCTTTGGTTTATAGTTGTTGATTTCATGTGTAACGCACGGTTCTAAGTAAACTTGGCAAGTTTTAAATAATTGTTTATTGCAGAAAAGGCCATTACGCTAAGCATAATGGATAGTTACGCTTGGCATAACTCATTTAAATTAATCACAGATTCCATCTCGTATGTTGACCGCACATATGAGTATGCTTATTGTACTCATGTAGAATGAAAAACCTTAAATTTTAGGTGTTAGACCCTATTTAAACACCTTATGACCTCAAGGCCTCTCTCATCACCAGCCACCTTTATCCCAAAACAGTCCCCTTGAAACCCTAGCCCCATTTGAGAGATTATTTAGCCTTTTAAGTTATTTGGTTTGTTTTTGGTACATATTGAAGAAGGAGGAGCTCATTGGAGAAGCATTGTTTGGTTTGAAGCTTGTTATGCCAAACCTTGTACATCCTGATCATCCTTCTGGAGGTATAAAGTCCCAACCTTGACGATTCATTTCTTAGATCTAGTTAGCTGAGGTTTTTTGGTATATTTTGGTCCTATGGGTTGATTTATGTGAGTAAAAGCTATTCTAGAGGCGTAGGTTATCATTTCTTGATGTTTCTGAGGTCCTTAATACATAAATGTTCTTATCTTCTTGACATTGGTTCATCCGCACATGAGTTGATGTTTATCATATGAAGGTAAAAGGTTAGAGATTGGTTTTTGGACTTCTTTGAGCCAAGTAGAGGCATCAAGTTGATGAATTTATTAGTTGAGACATTCCCAAGAACTAAATCTGTAAATTGGACGTTTTGACTCTAGGTATTAAGTGCTTAATATGGATTTTGGGCTTTAGGAGAGTACGTTGGGTGTAACCTCTAGGCACGCTAAGTGTAATGTATTCAACCTTGAGTTCCTATATTGTTAAGGCTTTTATGCTCGGCGTAATCGGGTGGTACACTTGGCGTACTCACGAAAAGGTCATTTGAGCCATTTTTTGGGCCTTAGGTTTTATGGGTTTGGGCTATGGTTAGATGGATGAATTAAGAGAACGGTAAAATGGTCTTTTACCCTTAGCATGTTAGATTATAATCCAGATCATTTATTATGGTTTATTACTTTGATTATTTATTTGGGTTAATTTTGGATATGTTCAGTGTGAGGAGTCGTGGTAGCAATATCTTGAGAGTGTGATTTGTTTATCTTTAGATTGAGGCGAGTCTCCTCACTGTACTTGTGGATCGAAGGCACTAATGCTAGCCCACTAGATGATGTTGTAGGATAGTAGTGTTCTTTGTGATGCTTACTAATATGCTTGTATGTGCTTGATGTCTTTCGTGACTCATGCTAGTATGACTGTATGCTTAGTTGTAGAGGGTGAAATAGACCCATACCATTTGAAAGATACCGAAGGAGTCAGAAGGGACTCAAAGAGGCGGAAGAGACTCGGCGAGGTGGAAGAGACTCGGTGAGTCAGAAGAGACTCATGGAGTCGGAAAGGAATCATAGAGTCGAAAGGAAATCAACCATCATGTGTGAAATAGACCCGTACTTGCTTTCGCATGATATTTATGTATGATGTATGATATATGATATTTAGGGAAATCACTAAGCTTTGTTCTTATGTTTCAATTTTATGTTTTAGGTACTTTCAGTTCAAAATGGAAGGGTTTGGCCAGATTACACCACATCCATTAGTGTCCAACATTTTTTTTATGATTATAGGATTGTACTCTAATAACTATTCCACATTTTCTTACTTCTAATGGTTTGATATGAATATTAGATGATTTTGGTTGACTTAAAATGAAATTTTTACTTATGATTTTTGGGATGTTACAAGTGTTGGATTAGTGTCTAAGTCCATAACTATTTTGGTATGTACTTGACCCGATTATGAGCATGGTCCTTTTGGGTTGCCTTCACCATAGCAATATGTAGGATGATTTAAGGAGAGAAAGGTTTAAATATGATTTATTAATATATTATGAGTATAATATATTAAAGGAGAAATCATATTGTTTAATTAATATTAGTCAAGAATTAATTAAGAATTAATTTTGTGGCTAAAAGAGATTAATTAAATTTAGGGGACTGGACTGCAATTATTGGATAATTGAGTTATTGGGCCAAGGAATGCTAAAGGAATAAGGGGTGAACGAAATTATGAAGGGAGCCCATCATATTTTCGTCCATAGCCTTATCCAGAAGGTTCTATGGGCTGCTTAGAGTTTAAGCTGTCCATTAGGGTTTTGACTGGAACCCTAGCAGCCCACACAAGTATATAAAGTACCCCTTAGGCTCCAAAAACGTGGAAAATTGATTCTCTAGGGTTTCTAGTCGTTTTTGGGCAGCCTCTTTTCTTCTCCGCTTCATCCAAGTTGCATATGGTGTTTGTGACTCCATTAGAGGTGCAGCACTTGAGGCACTGAGCTTTTGAAGCCAATCCAAGCAGGGAATTGATTGTTATTGCTATATAACAATCAAAGGTAATTCCATAAACCCTAATTTAGTTTATAATATGTTAGATCTAAGTTTGTAGTCTTGGATTCAAAGCATGTAGAATAGAGAAACCTAGATCCAAGCATTAGGGTTTGTATGAGCACATAGGATTGTTCTTATGCCTAAAACCCATCAGTGGTATCAGAGCCTTGATTGGTTTCAATTGTATGTGATGCTTAACTGTTTTGTTTGCTGAAAAACGAGTTTTTGGCCTCTGCCCGACTCAACTCGGCGAGTCAGTATCTGGACTCGGCGAGTTGGCCCTACTCGGCAAGTCCAGGTCTGACTCGGCGAGTCAGTGCGTCAGGCAGAGGGTGTTTCGGGATTTAGCTGCTATTTTGACTTGGATTTGATGCTTAAATTGTTTTATGAAGTTAAAACCCGAATTTTATCTTAATTATATGTTTATCTGGTGGTTGTCGAGGCCAACACAAATAATAACCCTAATTATTACACACTAAAATAGTGTATAGTGGTAAAGGGATCGAATCCACGGAGACTGGTTCAATTTGATAACTCTATGAAAAATCTCTTTGTAAAATACTTGGAATATGACAATAAATTAAAAATGGGGGTTTTGATGTTTTGAAATACTTGAAACAAACTAGAATTAACTATGATTTAAATAGACAATTGCAACAAAAATAAGAATTTGATGTAAAATCAATAAGGGAAAGATGGTTGACTTAAAGTTTTCTCACTTTGACTTTTGATGAACATATCATTAGAATTCAATGGTGCAATACTTGTTTTAAATCCTCAATTTGGCTATAGTAATCCAAGGAGCTTGAGATTACCTAGACTTTTCTTAATTGTTGAAATGGCTAGAGAAGCTCATAACAATTTCCTTAGTCAAAGTCACTAATTCCAAATAGCATGTAATTAGTGAAAGTCAACTAGCATTAAGAACCAAAAAGTCACCAAATCCAAGAGGGGTCAAATGCTTTCACCACCATGTTGGAGGAAATGTTTTTATGATTGTGTGAAGCAAAAACAACACAAAAATCATTTGTTGCTTGCTAATTTGAGGATCCTTTACTTAATCAAGAAATTAGCCAACTAATCACCACAAACACATTTAAACTCATGAACTAAAACATACAAGTAATGATAAGATGTTAAAACACAAAACATTTCATAAAGATTCAAGAACATGTTCATGGATTCTTCAACATTCAACAAAAGTTCAAAGGATTAACCAAAAGTCAACCAAGATTAGCTTAGCCAAGCATGGCTAAACCCAAAGAAACAAAGTTAGAGAAATTTGTACCAAACATTAAGCAAGAATCAAGAGGTAAAAATATGATGTTCTTCAAGGGTTCTTGGCCTTCAAAAGTCTCCAAAACTCCAGAGAGAATCTTCAAAAATCGGGTGTCCAAGAGTATGCAAAAGATGGGCACCAACCTTCCTCAAATAGCTCAAAAGAAGAATTTCCGAAATTGCCCCTGCAGGAGGTTGCGCGACCCGCGTGCTCTTGCGCGGGTGGGTTGCGCGGGTGGTCCCTGGATGTAGCATCTTTGAGGTTTTGGGCCTCCATAGCTTAGCCCACTTGGCCCAGATCGAATCCAATCACCTCCTAGCCCATTTTCTTCAAGTTTTTCTTCATTTTAAGCCCAATTTGACCTCTCCAAATCCTCCAAAGCTCGTGAATTCGCCCGATTAATAATTTACGTACGCTTGAATATTCCCCCGCATCTTGCAAATTTAAAGTTTATTTCTCTCCAAGTCTTCAAATAATCATCAAGATCACTCCATGCATCATCGCCACTACCCATCAAGCCCAACATCATTTTTGTCTACCAAATCTCATCGCCTCCTATATGTCCCGAACACTCCCGCTCCGCTAGACCCGAAAACCTGCAATTATGCTCACAAGATTCGAGAGTACCCGAAATAGTCATAAAATAACAAAAAGGAAAATATGCATGGAAATTATCTAAATTATGAATGAAATATGCTAAAATAAACTATAAAAAGAAGTAATTAAAATGAAGCTATCAAATCACCCCAAGCTTAAACCTTACTTGTCCTCAAGTAAGACAAGACTAAATGAACTTGGGATGAACTACCTAGAAATAAAAAGAATGGATAGAACCATGGAACCTGTTCGACGTTAGTCAACATGGTCAGAATTGATTTCGCTGCTATCTCACAACTTTTTCATCCGATGACAATGGAACCATAAACCACAGCCAGGACAACTCCTTTAGGTGAGTAAGGAGGGATGAGCAGTCGCAGCCTCAATGGAACATGTATACAATGAAGAACATCTGTAGTAGGGAGAAAGCAACTGGATGGGCTCGGGTGGAGCTCTTTTTTAAGTGTACACTCTGATCTCACATTTGCCGGTTTCTCTCATGTGTAACTAGGTTTAATCGCTCGGGCACCGTTGTAGGAATCGATTCACTTGGTGTTGGCCCAAACCTCCCGTAGTATCCGACTCGACAGTCTCCCTAACATCACCAATTTGCGAAAAACAACTCGATCTATATACAATAAAACATACCTAAATAAATGAATATCAAACGCCGGGTGACCAAGATGTTGGGAAATTTGTTCAATAATTGAACCGGCCACCTATCTAAGATAGTTGCAACTGAAAATTTGCATGCTTCATTTTTTTTTTTTTTGTTTTTGTTTTGTTTTTTTTTTGTTTTTTTTTTTGATGAGAAAACCCTTTGACTCAAAATTTGGTTCCCAAAGGTGTGTAGGTGGAACCGAAAGGGTAATGATATAATCCGAATGGCCTAAGTGTGAAAATGACCATGTGTGGAGCATAAAGATGTAATGTAAGCTCCTTTTCAAACTTGTGGTTTTTCAAAGATAATGAAAATGTCCAAATGTGGACTAAAAGACTCTCTAAATTCTAAGAAAATCGCAAAAAGATATGGTGATGTAAAGAGACCGGATATGGATTCTACTCAGGGACAAGCACCAATGCTTCATCCTAACAGTTCAAACATGATCAAGTGTGATCCTCTCCGCAGTAGTGACCGCAAGGCTAAGAACACCCATTGCTATAGTATATCCTAGAGTTGTTAGTATTGTATGCATAATTCTTCATGAAACTACCTGGCCATGATCACTTACCCCTTTAAGCTACCAGCATCTGATCCCAAGTATGAAATCCCAAACTGCAGCTAGTGGTCCCGATTCGATGGGTGAGATAGCAACAAGATCCTGGACCAATAATGATACAATAACTGTGAACCTGTTCCATGGCATCCAAGAGAGGTGAGAATAAACAGACAACAAAAATGCATGAATGCTAATGTCTTAAGCTAAATGTTATGCAAAAATAAAAAGTGGAAAAAGAAGAAAATAAAATCTTTTTGGAATTAAAAAAAATGAATGAAAATTAGCTTAAAACTAAAATGTTATGCAACCTAATTAAAAATGCATGAAAAAAATAAAAGGAAAATGAAATGCCCCACCCCAAGCTTAAGAACGAGCATTGTCCTCAATGCTTGAGGAAAGGGCGGAAAGGACCTAAATCGGGGGTCGGGCAGCGGGAAATGCCCGTGGCGATAGTGGTAGTCCCACATATCCTGGACCTGGCGGGAAGTGTGAGAGGAGGACTGCTCCAATCGATCAACACGGCTTGCCACATCTAGGATGGCTCTCGAATTCTCTTGCGTTTGGGCGTCGATGCGTTGCACCGTGGAGAACATTGTGGCAAATTGGTCAAAGAACATGGGGGGGGGGAAATATGGTGGGACTTCGTGTCCCTCCTGCTGATGCGGCTGGTCAAAATGATGTGGAGGGGCCTGGAATTGATCATGCGGAAACATCGGCTGCTGCATCGAGGGCTGGTCAAAATGATCCTCAGCTTCGGGCATCTCGTCGTTCTCTTCGTCATCTTCTTCCTCTTGTTGCTCTGCGTCGTCACCCTCATCATCACCGAATTCTGAGAATACACCTGCTTGGGTCAATTGATCTGGAGGAAGCCAAGTGTCGGGGTTGCCTGTATCAAATGAAGAACCGATCCAACTTGGCAGGATGTAAACCAGGGCTTTGTCAGAGTCTAACCAACTGTACGTGCGGGTTCCCCGATCGAGCAACATCTCCATCCGGATGAGAGTGTCACAATCTAGCAGGAAGTTCGGTGGGGTGTCGACAGGTATGTACTCGGGATCCGGGAAGTCTAGGCCGACGGCTCGACCTATGATCGTGATAAGTCCCCCGATGAAAATTTCCCCTGAGGAACGTTGGCGTATGGAGTCACATTTGTCTAAAAAGAAGCCTGAAAAACTGAGGGAGAGTGCACGCCTCATGCTTCGGAGGAAAAATAGCTCACATCTGTTGATTTGACCGGGCTCGAGACGCCCGAAGATACTCGTCGTAAGGACTCGGTGAGCAATTCGCCAACAGGGGTGAACGATGTGCTTGGCTCGCTGTCGGCTTGGGTTGAAGGTTGGAGACCGGAAATTTGCATCCAAAAGTTTGCATCAGGGTCAACGAAAATCTTGGTACTCTTGATTTTGGGGGCTGATGCGGAATGGGTCGTCTATACCCATGATAGAATTAAGCTCTTCGTATGTGGTCTATGATGCTCCCCTTTCAACTGGAATGTGAGGACTTCCGTGTCATCATCTCGTGCATATGTGCTAAGAAATTCCATTGTGGGTTCCTCGTAAGTTCTATCACAAAGTCGAAGAAAACCACGCCAACCGAGTTTTATGAACAAATGGTATACACCATCATGCACCCCAAGCTTTTTCATGGACTTTTTATGGTAGAATTTTGTCGGCCGGATTGCGCGACCCCGAAGATTGGAGCGATAGGTTTTGATCCCAAAATTGAACTTGAACCCGGAATCCGCTACCGTGCACCCCAAGCTTTGGTTATTCGTAGGTGCCTAAATGCAAGACTTGTTCATTGAAGGGATATTTTCAACTTGATTTGTGTGAAAAATCCGGCGGCGGCTTGTGGTGGCTCAAAAATTATGGGAAAATTTTTGGTGAGATTTTGAGGTTTTGTTTGGTTAGATGTAAAGATCCCCGAAAAAGAAACACTTTGGTGATGTCGGAATTTCGAGAGGTGGTGGGAGTTGGCCGGAAAATGGCCGGAAAGCCGCGAGTTGGGTGGTGCTGGCGCCCCTAGACCCGGCGATGGATCGGAGTAAACTTTAGGTGGGGTTTGTAGAGCACGGAAAATGGTGAAGAATGGTGGTGGTCTCGTCGTATTCCGACCGGTGGAACTCCGGGAAATCAAATTTTTGTGAAAAGTGGGTTTATGTGTTCTTGAGAGAATGAGGGGTTTTTGAGAGAATGAAATGAAGAAGAAGAGTTGCTGGAGGTTTTTAATCCATATACAAGTGTGGTCAACACCCGGTCAATGTTGGTCAACTCATTAAACCACCTGGTCAACGAAAGTCAAAGCTGGTCAACAAAATAGGGGATAGTCGTCAAAGCAGCACGCGGATCGCGCAAAGGGGGCGCGCGGGTCGCGCATATCATGCAGTTTGGTGCTTGATTTTTTGTTGCATGTTGAAGACCGGCCGCGCACACCAGCCGCGCACCCGTGCGCGGGTCGCGCAGACCCTGCTCCCGGAAATCGATTTTTCTCTGTTTTCTTCCGTTTCTTCACTAGTTCTTGATCCCAAATGCCCCAAACACCTAGAAACTCTTGATTTCTTCAAAAATGACTTCAAAAGACGTATCAAAACATTTTCAAAACTTCTTTATTCGAACGTAGAAACACGAAAGCATAAAGCTTTTCCAAAAATGCCTCTCTTTAACGTCTTAGGCGAGACGTCCTTCTAGCTTGGTTCAACACTCCGGTGCATCCAAGTGGATGACTTCAATAACACTGCATTAAAACTTTCATAGAATGGCTTTAATCGGTGCCCGTTAACTTTGAAAATATGTCCCGTTTCTTCACTTTGGATTTCCACCGCTCCATGGTCAAAAGTCTTTATTACAACAAATGGGCCAATCCACCTTGATCTTAATTTGCCCGGGAATAACTTCAACCGTGAATGGTAAAGTAAGACCCTATGTCCCGGTTCAAAATTCTTCCGGGTGATGGACTTGTCGTGGAAGAGCTTCGTTTTCTCCTTATAAATCCTTGCGTTTTCATAGGATTCGTTTCTCAATTCTTCTAGCTCTTGGAGTTGAAGTTTCCTATGCCTTCCAGCCTCGTCAATGTCGAAGTTGCATTTCTTGACCGCCCAAAATGCTCGGTGCTCTAACTCGACGGGAAGATGACAAGGTTTTCCGAAAACTAATCTGAAGGGCGACATTCCAATCGGGGTCTTATAAGCGGTCCGATATGCCCATAAGGCATCGTCAAGTCTCAAACTCCAATCCTTCTTTGTCGGATTCACCGTTTTCTCTAGAATAGACTTCACTTCACGATTCGAGACCTCCGCTTGACCATTCGTTTGAGGGTGATAGGCAGTGGAGACACGATGAGTCACGTGATACTTCTTCAATAGAGCCTCCATCATTTTGTTGCAAAAGTGCGTCCCTCTATCACTAATCAAAGCCCTAGGCACACCAAATCTCGCAAAAACATTAGACTTTAAAAACTCGATAACCGTTTTGGCATCGTCCGATCTTGTGGCTTTGGCTTCAACCCATTTAGAAACATAGTCAACCGCGAGTAAAATATAAACGTTGCCAAATGATACGGGAAATGGGCCCATAAAATCAATCCCCCATACGTCGAAAATTTCACAAACAAGGATTGGATTTTGGGGCATTTGGTTCTTTTGCGAAATGTTTCCCGTCCTTTGGCACCGCTCACAACTTTTGCAAAACATATAACTATCGCGTGACATGGTTGGCCAAAATAATCCACATTCAAGGACTTTTCTCAAAGTCCGGCTAGGTCCGAAGTGTCCCCCACAAGCAAATTCATGACAAAATTGCAAAATGGATTGGTGCTCTTGTTGGGGCACACATCGCCTAATGATTTGATCGGGACAATGTTTCCACAAATAAGGTTCATCCCACACATAGTATTTTGCATCACTTTTCAACTTGTCTTTTTGAGAACGCGTGAATGTGTCGGGATACCTTTTTGTGACCAAAAAGTTAACGATATCGGCATACCAAGGAATAGATTGGGTAAGGGAAAAGAGATGCTCATCCGGAAACTCGTCCCGCAATGGGAGAGGAGTTTCATTTGAAGTGATCCGACTTAGATGATCGGCAACGAGGTTCTCGCATCCGCTCTTATCCCGGATTTCCAAGTCAAATTCTTGTAACAGTAGGATCCACCGGATGAGTCTCGGCTTTGCATCTTTCTTCGTCATCAAGTACTTAAGAGCTGCGTGATCCGAATACACTATGACCTTGGTACCAAGTAGGTATTGTCTAAATTTCTCCAAGGCGAACACTATGGCCAATAGCTCCTTCTCCGTGGTAGAGTAGTTGCTTTGGGCATTGTCTAGTGTCCTTGATGCATAATAGATCACATGGGAGGCCCTCCCATTCTTTTGACCCAAAACGGCGCCAATCGCATAGTTGCTTGCATCACACATGATCTCAAAAGGGAGATCCCAATTTGGTGCTTGCATGATGGGAGCGGATGTAAGCAACTCTTTGAGCTTGTCAAAAGCTTCTTTGCACGCCTCATTGAACTCGAAATCGACCTCCTTTTGCAAGAGTTGGCACATTGGTCTTGTTATCTTTGAAAAATCCTTGATGAACCTTCGGTAGAAACCTGCATGGCCCAGAAAAGAACGAACTTCCCGAACACAAGTCGGGTAAGGTAAGCTTTGAATAACATCAATTTTGGCCTTATCTACCTCAATTCCTTTTTTAGACACAATGTGACCCAAAATGAGACCTTGACTCACCATGAAATGACATTTCTCAAAATTCAAAACCAAGTTTGTTTCAATGCATCTTTTTAAAATTTTTGTGAGATTAGTCAAACATTCTTGAAAAGAGTTGCCATGTACCGTGAAATCATCCATAAAAACCTCAATTATGTTTTCAACATAATCCGAAAAGATACTAACCATACAACGTTGGAAAGTGGCCGGGGCGTTACACAATCCAAATGGCATTCTCCGGTATGCAAAAGTACCAAATGGGCATGTAAATGTTGTCTTTTCTTGGTCTCCGGTGCCACCGGGATTTGGTGAAAACCAGAGTACCCGTCTAGACAACAATAATGGGATTTCCCGGCCAACCTTTCTAACATTTGGTCAATGAAAGGCAATGGGAAATGATCTTTTCGTGTGCTCGCATTGAGTTTGCGGTAGTCAATACATACTCTCCACCCGTTTTGCACACGGGTGGGGACCATCATACCTTTGTTGTTCTCGACCACCGTGATTCCCGTCTTCTTTGGAACGACTTGCACCGGACTCACCCACTTGCTATCCGAGATTGGATAGATCATCCCCGCATCAAGAAGCTTTAATATCTCTTTCTTCACGACTTCCATCATTGGTGGATTTAGCCTTCTTTGCGCGTCTCTACTTGGCTTGCATTCATCCTCCATTAAGATCTTGTGCATACAAGTGGAGGGGCTCAAACCCTTGATATCCGCAATCGTCCAACCCATGGCTTCTTTATGCTCCTTCAACACCTTGAGGAGTTGCTCTTCTTCAAATTCGGTTAAATGAGTTGAGATGATAACCGGAAGGGTTTCATTCTTTCCCAAGTAGGCATACTTCAAGTGTTGAGGTAAGACCTTTAATTCCAATTCGGGTGGTTGAACAAGGGATGGAGACAATTTTGTATGAGTTTGGGACAATTCAATTTGCTTGACATCTAATCTTGTGGATTTTTTCATTTCCATTTTATTTACCAACTTCTCAACTTCCGGATCCAAAGAATAAAACTTTAATTGCTCGGCTAGCTTCCCACAATCGAATCCTTTGCTTAAGATCATCTCCAACATATCACCGTTAGATAACTCAAACAATTCTTGAGTAATTGGCTCAACAACATCAACAAAGTACAAAGATGAAACATCACTAGGATATCTCATGGCATCATAAATATTAAAACTTATTGTTTCACCATCAAACTCCATTGTCAAACTTCCCGCATACACATCGATCTTTGTCCTAGCCGTCTTCAAAAACGGTCTCCCAAGCAAGATTAGAGCCGATTTGGAAGACACTTGCTCATCTAGATCAATCACATAAAATCCGCCGGGAAGACTAATTGGTTCACTTGCACTAGGACATCTTCTAAAACACCTCTAGGAAAGACACTTGATTTATCCGCAAGAGAGATTATGACACCGGTTTCACTTAAGGGTCCGACATTTAATGATTCATACACTGAATAGGGCATGACATTGATAGAAGCACCAAGATCAAGCATAGCACTACTAAAAGTGAC